AAACGCACCGCCTACAAAAGCCGATACGCTCCCTTGAAAAAGTTATCGAGATTTCTACTAATTAATGAATTATAGACAATTACCTCTCATGATCCTTGGCTCCACTATGATTTTAACTTACCACTTTTAGATTATTTATCAAATACCTCTCCGAGTATATAACGCCCCGATGCCTTGTTGATTTCTGGTCTCATTTGGATTGGTCCTGAATTTGTTTGATATCCTGTTCGAAGCTATTCTTTTCCTTCTCCTTAGTCAATTGAAATCCCCGTGTCTCACGTCATATGATTCGCCATTCATAAAGATAATGGGTTAAAAGGGAGTAATACATACATAAAGGTAGATTAGTATTAGTTGTACTTGATCCAAACACTAGAAAGAAGCATAGATAACTTAGTAGGAAAATAAAACTAATATATAACTAGTGCAATGGATAAGTATTAGTTCCGGGATCATTTTAGTGTTAGTAGTTATGTTAGTTTTGATCCGTATTCAGTCCTGCCAGCCCCTCCAGCACTATTTGCAGCAATTGTGATAAGATTATGCGACACTGCTACTACCACTATGTTAGATGTATGACTTGTCAATTTTCGCAACGTAATGTCTTTCAATAAATCACTCAATCACTTTGATGTCTGAAAATTTGCTCAAAAGGGTTTTGTTGACACATCATACCTTACCTAAAGCACAACAATCTTAATTCTTATTTCAAACGTATCAACATATTTAACACATCTTTCCTAAAACTTTACTAGTTCGTAAGCGTCTGGTTGTAGATATGACTTTCGCTATTAACATTGCCTGTAATTAACAAATGCACTAAATAGGAAGATTTATTATACAACTTCAAAGGCTAGTCGCCTCCCTAACCGGACCCCCCGCGTCCTATCTTTTATGTTAATTAACTTTCTGAATTCTCTAATTGAAGTTTATTTAATAAATAACTGAAATCTCTACCTACACAATCATAACCCATGCTGTTAAACTTAAATTTAACGTGTTTCAAGTACTTCTGGCTTTGACATATATTAATTATATCTTTGTTCGTCCCAGGTGACACCTTCAAGTGACTTAAATGCTTCACTTTGAAGTATGTTTCCAAGCTAATTTTAAATTGTATATTGTATAGGGTAAATGTTCCAATTACGCTCTCACGTTTCCACTATGTCGCACCACAAAAATACATAAGGGTATGTCACAATAGAAGCACACCACAGTGGAAATCCCGAGTCATATTTCAAACACTTATCCCAAATCAAAATGAAGCACATATAAGATTAGTTACAATACCATGTACAACAATGGTGTTTAACATTGTTTCCTGAGTAATACTTCAATGAAAACAACAATGAAAGCTTGTCACGCAAATAGAAGGAGCACCGTTCGGCACTTTCTGAAATATTTCAATAGTATAATTCCCTTGCAAACCCAAATAAATCTATCTGCGTAAAACTAAATAAATTAAGAGTGATTTGCGGCAAAACCCGCCAGTATCACACCCAACGTCAGTGCCTATACGTAAGCGTACTACGACGCGGCTCTAAATCGAAGGAGTAACAAGTGTGATACTATCACTGCTAGACTAGATCTTTGGTTCTCTCATGCAGTGGTTTATCAGAGAGGGGAAGCTTAGTAATCCCCATTGCCTGCCCATGGCGCCATTCTATCGTGGCATGAGCCAGCAACGCCGGCCATAAACCTACCGTCTCCAACACTCCACTAAAAAGCATGAAATAAAGCCCGCCCACCAGCATCAAGGTGCACAAACTAGCCAAGGGGAGGGTACAATGAATCCGACTGTTCTATTTAAATTGAAATCTATAACAAAATGTGACTTTGCCTGCTTTTTTAGTGCTAATGCTTATGTGCATTCAATTTAACCGCTATTGGGAGCCTAAAACCGATGCGCCACCAATATAGTGTGAATTAAAAAAAAAATGAATTGAAACAAATTTTAATTCGATTGGTTATCTTAATTTCCCGGAAAATCGATCTTACCTCATTCAATAATATGGAAGCACACCGAAATGCACTTCAAGTCTTCAATTTATGTTTTATTTTATCGAAAATCTATGGAAATCATGGTTAAAAATTTCCATGACACCAATATGGTGACTGAGATGTTGTCAGTAATTACGGAAAGCAATAACGTTTTCGACAGTAAATCTAATTTCTCTTCATCATGTAAAAAATGAATGTACTTGGTCGTGGCATTATCGTTTCAAATCCACTATAATACATAAAACTAAAGATTTTCAATAATGTTTTTGGATGGAATTTTCAGTAATAAACAGGCTAGCCCTCAACTGAGTTTCAATCGGCTCATACCAGAGAATAAGAAGAATAATACAAGACGTCCGATAAGCGAGTGTTTCAAAATGATACAAATTTTCATAGGACTGTAGGTCTGTTTAGAAGTGCAGTTTGGCGAATGCTTAACGATCAGGTATATTTTTCTTCGTCATCAGGCATTTATCAGCATTGCAAAGGTAGCTCCAGCTCCTGCATGAGGAGTTAGGATGGTTAAAAACGATGGGGTGGTAGACTCTTTGGAGTTGCCTCCGTGACAACCGCAGAAACACAGGAGAACTTATTTCTTGGCTGGCGTTACTTGCGGAAGGATCCGGCTGAAGAACTTTCTTTTACATGTAAACATGAGTACAATTATGTTGAAATTTCAATTCTTCGCTTGAAAGTGCCTTGAATATTTTTTATGAATCCATGACGGAAAAAGTTTTTAGTGGCACTGTTTGTTTACAATTCTGACAAGGTTGGAACTGAGTACTTATTACTGTTTTAAAATGGATGTTTCATAGTCAACTAGTTTTATTGCGGCTACTTATAAATCAACACTGAGATTCGTTGTTGGGCGTTATGAGAGCAATTAAAATTGGCTTTATCGGGCACTATAAAGCAATCATAAAACTAGCAAACTGGTATTAGCATCAGTTGATTTTATAATATGATTTATTAGGTTTAATTAATAACTTATAATATTTTATATAATTTACTTTTTATGACAATATGTATAACCGTCATCAAACTAAAGGAAATTGTTGTTGCTGCAATGGAACATGTATACAATTCAAATAAAGCCAAGTAGCTCTAGATTTGTTACTTCAGAAAAATATTTAAATCTTTGTTCGGGTTCGAAAAACAGCTAATATGAGCCTACCACCATTAAAGTATGTTAACAAAAATTGATCCTTGAATAATTTGCTTTACCAAGCAACACACGTCCATCAAAATAAGTTGCTACAACTTGATTGTGGCTGAAATAAGTTACATACAAGTAACCACAATTGTTCAGTGAGTGTGTTGTAAGGATTACTTATAAACAATATGTAGAGTAGAGCAGGGCTAGTTGGTCATAGAGGTAAGTTGATCAGTGACGATACCTCGGAATTCAAAGCGTCAACAAATTTCGCGTTACATTGGTGAAATGGATTTATAATACAACTGAATGAGAAAACTAAAGGCGCTTAGTTATTTGAAAGCCCAGCAAATACAAACATAGAGTATTTTTCGCCAAAAATCATTCATAGTTTGCAAATTGAGATTTTTCTTCTATTAATTGCTAGCAACAATCAAATAATAGCTTTTTTCCATGATTTGTTTTCCGTCGACCTTGCTTTCCGTACTGCTACCGGCGCCAGAGGGGCAGCTTCCACACCTGTCGACCCTTCAACTCATGGACCGGGGACCAACGGCTTTATTTCCCTCCCCTCAGTTGAATCCCGACTGTGCCGACTGGGATGGAACCCAGGCCCCTTGGAGTGAGAGGCAGTGATGCTTAAATAAATCAGATTCAATGCATAACGAAGGTCCATTTAAGTAGTATTATGATTTATTTACGAAAACCATTGTCATGTTTCTATTTTCATATTTTGAATGCATTCTTATTTTGTACACATGAAGGGACTAGTTGGTCATACTCAGAGTTAGTTGATCACTTGTATGGTAAAAGCATGTCAAATTATCAGTTACGTTGTATTCCATTAGGTGAACTGTAAACAAAAAGAGAAAACAGATGCACTATGTTTGAAACTATAAACAATGTAGCACCTGCCAACCAAATGTGGCAACATTTTAATTTTGGCCGATTCTTTGCTAAAACTATTGCATTACATTAAATATCTATAATTCACACTAAGGCATCGACTTATCAGCATACCTGGATGTTAATTCCATATTCTTTGGAACAAACGACCGACATGCCTCACACCCTGACCAGCTTCCCCACCTGGCGGGCTAGTTGGTTAGTAATATGACAACCTTTTGGAAAATACAAAATATTTATAAAATGCTTAAATATTTTGGACCGGTTATTTTTCTTACAGGAAGTATAAACTCATAAACAAAGAAAAAGCTATAGAACTTTGTACTGAAAACTGACGAACTAGCCCCGCTCTACCCAACTCTATTTACTTTAACGTACTCTAGTAGTTTTTCCTGTGTTTTGCAGTTGACAAGTATACAAGTGCACCCTTACCACTAACAGAAACTTCCATCCCATTACAAGCGTGGAGATGTAGCAGTGTATTTAGTCTCAAGTAGCAATGGATGTTCATTGACCATATAAAATAAAGAACCTTCGAAATATAGAGAATGGTTAGCTCATCTCAAGTCCCATTTTACTTGGCTCTATGTGCACTTTTGATGGTCTTGGTTCCGTCCTATGTTTACATAGTGCCGCATATGTAAATTTTATGTATGATTGTGATCCGGAAATAACAGAATGATTAAACATAAAGTGTTGAATTTCTTCATATTTTGCAATGATTCAGCTCTCGAAAATTTCCTTGCAATGACAAAAAAAAGAACGATCATTCTTAGAATACCGGTGATACACACATTCTCCGTAAAAACAGCCATCTGCTTGAAAGCATTCACGAAACACAATGCGCGAGTTTCCTAAATTTACCATGATACAAATGACATAGAAGAAAATAAAAATACATGCTACAGCAGATGTACTGCGCGCGATTCTAGCTACTGACCTCCGGAACCCTAGTAGGGCAGGTGCTGATCCTCAATCTTCCACCTCACTGCAGTGAAATCGAAATGAAAACGTGATCGCGTCACTTCAATTGATTTTTAATCCACTTCCTAGAAGTATCGGAGCGCGCATTTTCCTCGCAGGCTCGAACTGTACCAAACATAAATGTATATATTTAGACGAGCCAAACGGGGAAGAAGGAAAACACTCTTTTTTCTTCGATGCCAGTTGCGCTCTATAGGCAAATGTGATTCTGCTTGTAGGTATATTTGCCTCCGTGGATATTTATAGTCACTGAGGAAACTTCTGTTTTCATTTTAGATTCACTAACGCATCAACTAATGCGTACACATGCAGGTGAGTGAACTCTAACCGCGTGGAGTGAAAGGAATTCACCATCCCAAGCACTCAACAGCGTTTCAAATGTCACCAATTGATTTCAGCGCATTGTTTTCTAATTTCTGCACAATCGATCTGAAAACACCATTCAATGTAACCTTTCTCGAACAACAACGCATTGCCACTTGGTGAGATCGAGAAAGCGCGGATCCACTCTCGTTTTGGTTAAGTAATACGCGAGCTCTGAACGATGTCTGTGAAGGTTAGAACGGTTTATTTTCAGTCCACCAACATTTTGAAATTTTTCACACTCAAAAGCAACACACTTTGCGCCTACTCGACGAATGATCACGTCCGAACTGCTTCAAGACTCACCGACGACTAACGAAAATGTGCGGGATGAATATTTCGGATACTAGGATACAGCGCATAGGTAGATGACGACGATGACGGTGATGTGATCTTGTCGCGAAAAACACAGGGATATACCGATATTGATGCCACTTCTGTCGATTTACGTGCCCTACACCGGGGTAGTAATATGCCGTACATAATGTTTATTGTTTACAAACAAACAAAAAGCTGGTACGGCTATTTCCACAAGCCCTGCTACCGCATTCCTGTGTCACTGCCCTCAATACCAGGGGGAAAAAGAGTTTCACGGGATTCCAGGCAGTGTAAGAAACGCGCTCAGCAATGACGCAAGGTAGACCGCTGCTCTACTAGGTTTTCTTAAAGAGGCAGGCACCTAGTTTGATCACAACCACTTCGGTGCTCGGGAGTCTACCCTTCACTGATGCATACTTTCGGTGGCTCTCCAACATGGGCTGACCACCTGCACCATCACCCGGATTACCGACCCCCTACTGACCAACGATATAGCTAAGACCCATGCACACCAAAACCCGGACTTCTGACCCCAACAGCCCTACAACACAACATGGACCCTTTTTTTTAGACTTTATTTTTGAGATTTTTAGCTAGGCTAGTAGGCTAGTTCATCTCGTACCTGTACCCTTCCAAAGGCTTACTTAACAGAAAACTAGACAGCTTACAACACTTGGATTTAAACAACTCTACATTAACGGTAGCCCCTACCTCCTTCCGGGGTTCCCAAAGACAAACCAGCCAATGCACGGTGGAAAAAAAAATACATAAAACGCGAATTAAGTATAATTCTCTGGAGAATCGAATGGAAGTAGTCTCGTTCAGCACACGAAGCTCCTAGTTGGGATATAAGGCTGATTTTACCCCGCCTCCCCCTTTTTTTTTATTGAATTATTCATGGATACCTTAGCTCGGAGGGATGTACGATCGATAAAATGGGCAGTACATAAACAGTCAAAAAACAGGCAAAATCCGTAGTAACGTCACAGCCAAGTCACATTGCAGGTTTTATGAGGGTTATGTAGACCATTATTTAGACATGCAGACTCACTCACTCACGCATCGGTCAACTTTTTTTTTTGTAATCTTTCTCTGTTGGTTTCCCTAACAATTCAAGCTGAACAATGCATAAGGTCCTAAGTAACATTGATCGATGAATTGAGCACATAACCGTTTCTTGTTGTGTTTGTCATATAAGATGCTAGATAAAAGCTTCTTTTATCGATCTGTGAGCTGAAAATAGCTGGAAATGTCTTTACATGGCCGTCGGGATCCAAAGAAAATGTCGACGAAGATAATCTGTCGATGTTACATAGAACATAATGCAATGTTCAGCTTGAATTTATAAATTTAGGAGACAATAGGTGGTTGGCCTATAAGGTCTCCGATCCCCGTGATGGGGCAGCCATCTTAGGTGTAGCTTCCGGGGAAGAGCATTTCTTATTCAGCCGCTGGATGTCAGTCCGTGGTGGACAGACGTTCGGGTTGGCGATGCATTTCTTCTAACGTCGTGCTGTTACCGCGCCAGTGTTCGCGTCGCACCTCATCACTTTGTTATTGTCGGATTAACCCATCAGGCTACACCACACAGTGGCGATGTCATGCCCTAGTTATAAAAATTGCCCCGTAACGTGGGTAGTTCACCTTTTCGTAAGATCTACCACCGATTCCTAGTCCTGACTGCTTCAAACAAGGGGAACAGGCTTTTTCAGTAATCAAAGGAACACATTTTAGTCCTTGCTTCTTTTTATACCTTGTTGATAGTGACAAGACTCGGCTTCGTTCACCGAGGATGATCTTGAAACAAGGAAAAAAAATGAGTTAGTTGTCTTCATCTATGTGATTCCTAATCTTCTATTCGTTGTTCCCTAGTTTGAAGTGGTTAAGACTAGGGTTCTGATGGTCCTTGTAACCTGCTAAATGGTTACATTTTGTTTTTGTATATATTTTGTAAATATTCTTTATTTTAGTTTGTACTGAGTAGTTTAGTTTTATTTATTGAATTGAAATTGAAATCTAAAACACAGAATTGAATAACTTTACATCCACCTCCCTTTATGAACATCCCTATTCCCCTATTCCCACCCCACATAAACCTTCCACTTCCATCATGCGTTACCACCACCAGCCACAGTTGACCACAACAAGAAACGTCATTGAGCGTGTGGTAGAGACGATCGGCAGCAAAGCCGATAAAACTGCTTGTCACCGGGAAATCAACCTCTATTAGGTGAACGAATTTCACGAGGAAAAGTTCAAGTTTTTAAAAATACTTATAATTTTTATCCACCAGTGAACGGACAGTTTTGTGAGTCTGATGCACCGCTAGAAGAGGCTAATCCAGCCATCGGTGAAGTGCCAGCCATCTGTGACTGTGTCCGGTGTACCGCAAGGAGCCTGAAGCCTTCCAGAGGCTAAACGATGCCATAGGCGAAGTGAAGTGATCTGCTAGAAAACCCAGCGCGCCAAGGAGGACACGTCGGACGAATCCACCGATGTCTGCCAGCCGTCCAATACATCACCCACGAATGGGTACTGTGCCAGGTGACGATTAATCCCCTTCCTAACCCTAGATTCCTTTCCTTCCAAATTAAAATTCCAAAAATTATGAACTTAAAAAAAAACACCATGAATACACTAAATTATAAGGTTTAGAGATGAACTAGCCTAAGGCTAAACATCTCTTTAATAAAGCTTAAAAAAAACTAAATTATAAGCTAACTCAGTCCATTATTTAAAACACGCATTCTCTATTTCCTCTATCACTCTTGTTCTTCACCTTGAATGTTTTTTGGGAAGTATTTCCGCCCAATTCCTCTCTGGAGCAGGTTAAACGACCCTGAATGCCAGGATAAAGTCTGAAGAGGGACAAAAAGAAGTCCCCAGACAAAAGATAATCTAACATCCTGTTCAATTCCGCGCTCATGAAGCGTTTAAACGTCATGTTTTTGTTTTTTTTTTTCTGTTCGGGACCTAACAACACTGCGACCAGTAATTTGATCTATTGTAGTATATCCCGTGTCCTTATTTTAGTCCATATCGTATTACCAACAATCAATACGAAACTAATGATTTTAAATAGGCTCACTACTTGACTAGCCTATTGGTCCTAAGCAAACGATTAACGTACTCCATTCTAGTCAAAATTCTAGTACTACACTATGTTTGTTTTGATTCGCTATGAAAGTTTGACAGATAAAATGAGGGGTTACTGGATTTTCCTATGTTTCGAGGGGTGAATCGATTAGCTTGGGACCGAAGAGAGTACCAGAGCTGAGCCAAAAAGTTGAGCACGTTATTTCGGGACCTTCTAGTTACCTCTATGGAGGTAAGTGAAAGTCACTCTAATAAAGAAAAAAAAATACCTTATGGTATTACTGTATCACTATTGAGAAATAATGACGTATTCGATTTTTTACAGTTGTCATTCCCGCATTTATCGCAATGATCCGACAAAAATTGAAAGGTCCCGCTATTTATACCCTTGGGAGTGTTGAAACACCCTCCAAAATTGGATTCCTTAACAACAAAATTAAGGAATGACACCGATAATGACCATGCATCAGAACCCTAGTCTTAACCACTTCAAACTAGGGAACAACGAATAGAAGATTAGGAATCACATAGACGAAGACTAACTTACTTATTTTTTTCTTGTTTCAAGATCAGACTCGGTAGACAAAGCCAAGTCTTGACACTATCAACAAGGCATAAAAATAACAAGAACTAAGATGTGTTCCTTGGATTATTGAAAAATCCTGTTCCCCTAGTTTGAAGTAGTCAGGACGAGAAATTCATGGTAGATCTTACATCCCGTAGCGTACCATGATAAGGTGATCTACACACGTTACGGGGCATGGTTTACTAATTTATAAGAACTACACACCTTCATGGAAACAAACTATCCATCCATAATATAAACTTCTCGACTGACGTTCAGATGCCATTTTTAAACTTTTGCCTTTTGCCTTTTGGTAGAGTTCGAACTCTTTCAAATGAAAAATGTTGGTAACGGCAGAGGTTAAATGACGTCGATGACCTGCCTTTTTAAAAAAATATTTCAGGACTGGTGTTTCCAGTGAAATGATACGCCACGACTTGTTTCCGTCTACTGTGAACTCCTATTAATATCAGAATGAAGCCATGAGTTGCTTTCCTGGTTTGCCCAGGGATTGTCGTGTTACCAAAAATTTTTTAATTATTATTACTGCAGTATGAAAAACTCTGATTAATAGCCATTTCATCTAGGACCAGACCACAGTCGCGATCGGCTGGAGAAATACACTGAACTTTTCTTTTCAACATCTCAAACACTTCGTGAAGGATACCAGTATCGAAATGCACATCCTGCAAATACCTCTGCTGGGTACGAATCGATGGAATATGGTAGTGTTTCTTATTTCGATGGAAATTGTACCCTTTAGTCCCAACCAAATTGTGTTTCAAAACTATCTATAATTGCCTCATCAGACCATCGCTACACTCGTTTAAGATCACCTCGCAAAAGCCTGACCTGTTCTGGGGGTTCTGGGTTGAACAGTTTGATTCTGTCCCATTAGTAGCAGGCTTTGAGTTAGTTCGCCTGAGATTTTATCGAAGTTTTTTATAGTTTTGATGTGACAATGTTTCTGCTGATGCAGGCAACAAATACTCCGGATCAGGGCTGGAAAATTTCATTTTCAATTAAAGATCTCACACGATACTTCTGTCACTACCATTGGATGAGAAAACGATGACAGAGATTTTCTTCAAAATCTCATCGATTTTTTTGTCATGACAGAACGTGACAGTGTTGTGATCATCGTAATTACAAGCTCATTTAGAGCTATTTAAGTTACTTGTACCGAGGAAATCTTAAAAATGTATTCACTCTACCGATTACATACGGTTGTTTGCTTAAATTCATCTAAATCAATTAGAAATGTTGATGTCAAAACCACAAAAGAATTATTCTCATGAGTGCTTGATCATTGAAAAATGACA